CCGGAGACCGCTCCAAGTGCAGGAAGTGGACTACAGCGCAGGGCAAGCAAACGCACATTTCTCTTACCTCATATGGAGCCTCTCAGCCGTCTTGTGTGACAAACAACATTCTCCATGGTCTTCTGTCTCATCTTCCGCTCATGCTGAGTCCATTGTTGAAAAATGACAAAACAAGAATCCTAAAACCACTCAAATTTGACATCACTCTGTTTTTGTTTTTAATTCCAGAAGAAGAAGAGTCTTCTTCAGAGGTTTTTGTGTTGTTTCCTTCAGTAGTTCTTGGTGCAGCACCACCACAGGCGATGGGGGGAACAGGTTGGCTTGACTGACAGTGCAGTGTGAATGCAAACTGCACCAGCTGAAAATGTAAACAAATGTTCTGGTCCCCAATCGAACTGAGTCTACCAGAATATCAGGTGTGAAAACACACTTAAGCTCCCAGTATACTACCGCGTATGTCCATACGCAGAGGTACGCACGTACGTACGCAGAGGTACGAGCGTACCCCCCAGGGCATGTCCATGCAAAGCTCAATTTTTACGACCGCATACGCGTATGCGACATCGCACAATAAACTGCCCAGTGACGGACTGTTTTGTATGCGACACCAATGTATTAAATTCCCCTTCTTCATCCCTGATGTGGCCTTTTCTTTTGTTTTTCTTTTGCCAAGAGGCAGTGATCTCTTCCTCCTCCGTTGATGCCAAGACTGAAATGGTGAGAAATGAAGGAATTTGTCACGAGCGAATTAAACTCAGGTCCAGCGTGGCTGCGGGAGGGTCTGGAGATTTCCTGGTGGGCTGGTCTGATGTGTGGGCTGCAGAACCAGCGCTCCCTGTATTTATTTATTTTTTTAAAGATCTTTTTTATTAACAACATATAAACACAGAACACCGATGTGGCTGAGGCTGCCAGCTCTTTTTTTTTCTCTCTCCCTCAACCTGTCAATCAATCCAATAGGCGTGTCAGCAAATGACCAATCGGCGACCTCAATTTGTCCCAAAGGTAAACGCCCCTTGTCTGTGAAGCTGCTCTGCAGCTGCCCAGGGTGTACACTAGAGTCTACACTAGAGTCTGAAGTCTGAACCCTCTGCGTACAGTACACGCGTACATACGTGTGAATGGACGTACGCGGCAGTATACTGGGGGCTTTAGTCTGATTCACAGATGGGTCACTCTGGTCACATGGCTGAAATTCCTGATAGGTGTGAAAATGACTGAGTATCAGGCCTAAAGCTACATTATACGTTTTTGAAAGTTGAAATCTGAGACTTCCTCCTCTGTTTAAAGATGGTTTCTCTTGCTTTAGGGCAGCTGAGTTGTTAAAGCAGTCGTCTTCCAATGCAAGAGTTGGGGCTTCGATTCCACCAGCAGTCACATGTTGAAGCATCCCTGGGCAAGACACTGAGCCCATCATTTCCTCAGATGCGTGTCCCATCGGTGTATGAATGTGATAAAGCAGTGATTAGTCTCTACATATTCAGATTAGCTTTGTAGAGATCTAGTAGAGTGCTGTACGAATGGGTAAATGAGGGCACAGATTGAAGTGTAAAGTGTTTTGAGTATCTTGATAAGATAGAAAGGTGCTGTATAAGTGCAGTCCATTTGCCATTTGGTCCTCAAATCAGTGTCCCTTATCCTACACCTTAATTCATTCAACCTTTAATTATACAGATTAATCCCACTGAGCCTCGGGGACTCATTTACAAGAGAGACCTGAAGAATAAGGAATTGAAAAAGCTCCTCAGATGAGAGGCGAAACGTCTTCTGTTAAAGTCCATTTGTTTTTGTCTTGAACTTTTTTGAACACAGATGAGATTTCTATAATTCACTTTTACCTCATGAGATTAAATCAATTAACTGCAACATTGAAGCAATTTAAATCAGGTAGATAATTGTTTTTGATTATCTCAATGTGGTAGTTCTTTACAATCATTCTAATCCATGGATTAATCCATAAATCTATTCAATTCAGTTTATTTATATAGTGCCACATCACAACAAAGTTGTCTCAGGGCACTTTACAGGAGCATTCACATTCAAATCTATAAAATTTAAACAATCTAAATGCAAATATCTTTATGACCAAAAAACCCCCCAAAAAAGCACCTCAACAATCCCATGTCCTATTGGTATTTTGACAGAATGAGTGGACCTATTCATGGTTAGGAAGTTATTGCTACTGTTGTGCCTGATCAACATATACAGCTGTATTTTGTTTCTTTTTTTAATTATTTGTCAGCAGTTGTTCAAACTACTTCCTGATTGAATATCGTCCTGTGTTGTGCATTAATAAGAACGAGGCAGGAAGCAAAGGACAGCTTAGAATGAGATGATTTTTTTATTGATTCACAGTAATGATGAATGAATGGATTGAGATTTGACTCAGCCAAAGTGTATCCACAGTTATCTGAACTTCCCTCAGGGCAAAAACAAAACAAAGCACCATCATACCATGGCATTTTACCAGCAAAAAGAAACATGTGGGTACAAATTAGTTTGTGTAAGAGTACTGACAGTCCAAACAGCTCCGGTTCACTTGTTGTCATCACAGCTAAAAGCAAATAAATCACATTATATAATAATATATATATATTTAATTTTTAAAACTATTTAGATGAGGTCAAAGTCCCTGAGAGCATACATGTCTGTCAATCAGCACCATTTAGTTTCTCAGCTTTAAAACAAAACTGGCCATAATAAGATAATATCCCAGTGCTATGCTGAACACAGTTGTTGTTCTTTCAGCTGCTCCCTTAGGGGTTGCCACAGCAAGCTAACTCACACAAAAGATTTGGCAAATGTTTTATGCCAAATGCCCTCCTTGATGCAACATTGGCTCAAACCTGCAGCCTTGGGATTACAAGACCGCGGCCCTGACCACCGAGCCACCGCAGCGCCAGGTGCAAACACAGTAATATGATGGATATGAACCAACTTAATCTATGGAATTGTAAATTGTTTTAAATAACACACAAAAGATACAGCATTATTTAGTCTAAATCAACAAAGGCAGAATAACTAAAAAAAAAATGTATATCAGGAAAATATGAATTCAGACTTTTAAGTCTAACAACAATATTGTCAATTGTGTTTAGTTATAAAGCTGACTTAAGTAAAATAGATATGTTTGCTATTAGGCTGACTGAAATCTTATTTAGGCCTAACTTAGAAAGACTTATTCATAAAAAAGCTAAAGATAAGAACAATCATTCAAAGAAACAGGCATGTATTAATGACATAAGTGTTCAGTAGAAAAACATCTCAACAGGTTCTGAAAGATTAACAGAAAAACAAACACAGGGAAAAGCACACAAACACATTTTCCATGCTGCAGAGTAAATGAAGCTGCATCATTGTGGGTAGAAAAATACAGTACATTTTAGAAGGCTTGGCCTTAGTACAAATAAAGTCACTGTTTACTGTGTTGAAGCATGAATAGAATAGTTTATTTTTTTGCTCCCAAACATGTTGTTTTTGTTGGGGAGCTGAAAATGCCAGCCTGTGGTCTCTATGCAGCCGCCAACAACAAGGCAGCTTTTATAGCATGAACTAACTGCACATCTGCCCAAGCTATTCACCGAATTTCACCCCTTTTTTCTCTCTTTCAGTCCCTGTCTCTCCTGCTAAGTGTCTCAGGAAAACTGCATCTCTTTTGTAGTTTGTGTGGAGATGAAAATCCAGATTCATGCCCTGTTCGTGATTGCACAAGTGACAGTTCCTTGGTGTTTCTTTATAAAGCACTTGTTGAGCCTCAATTCTGACTGTAACCTTAAGTCTAACCAAACAGAGGTAATTAAAAGGTTTTTTTATACGCTCTCAAAACCCAGCCTGCCTGTCCACCACAGTCCTGTGGTTTGGTCACGGCACTTTTTTCCTCCCATCAGAGAGGCTGAAGAAAAAGAAAAAAAAATGTACAGCTACAATTGTTTTAATTACTAAAATAAAATTAAACAAATCAACAGTTAACTCGTCTGCAAGACAGACCCGGTTCAATTTCCCGCAAGATTTGCAGAAATTATTTTCCCTGGTTAATTATCAGACAAAAAATAAAATAAAATAAAATAAAATAAAGATTTGATTAAACACTAACTAATAATCTATTCACTGAGCATGCTGTCTAAGTGTAAATTTTCATAAATAAAGTAGTACAGCATAAAGAGCACATTGAACAAAATACATGTTACTATTCAAATATAAAATGAAAATAAAGTCATTTTTAGATAAACACCCTTGATTATCAGTTTGGCAGGTAGTTAAAAAAAGGAAAGGGTGGGATGGAGGGGACAAAACTTGAATACTTCAGTTTTAAAAAATAAAGTGCTTTCTTCCTTAAAATAAATTGACTTCTTTTTTCGGTAATCTGAATGCCAAGCACAACATTTTTATAAAATGATGATAATTTTATTAAAGCTATAGTTAAAAAAATAACTATACTACATAAAACTGTACAACACTGTTTACCTGAAAGTCGTTGAGGTTAATATAAAAACATACAGTATTGGTCGAGAGCACCAGTATTTTATGTCATGCGAAAGCACAAAAATTAAAATTGTTGCATCTTTTTAACGAGGTTTGAATGAAATCTGCCTTTTGGGGTAAACACTTACGCAATCTCGACATTTTTTTGGTCTGAATTTTATTTCTTCCTGTTCTGGAGTTTTATGTTATTGTTGTTTTTGAAAGCATCATTCTTCATCGCTTTTGATTGCTCTATTTTCCAGTGACATTAACATGTTTTATACATGTTCTGAATGACAGATAATCCACATTCACACAAATCTACATGACTGAAATAAAGTTGAACTATCATGTTGAACCAAGAAGCACCTGTTCCTCCCAATGACCGATTTAGTTGATGTAAATATCCCTGCAATGGTTGCTGAACGAAGTACTGAATATTTTAGTAATGGCTGATGAGTGATAAACAGGTGGCATTTTACATCTTTTGGTGTTTGGTCCTAAGCTCCCAGGATTTCTGGAGCCATTGACCTCGACCAACAATAAATAGCATCTGTGTTCCACTGCCTTCAAACTGGACTCTTGGACGGACTACACGAAGTTGTTACTGATTTGTCTTTGGTGTTCAAACAGGTCTTCAGTCTCTGCACTGTAAGCATCACCTGTGAAAGGAAACAAGAAAGATATACGCTGAAGTTCATTATGATGAGAAATCCAAAAACTAAAACAGAGACATTTTTCCGTCCTCACCTGTGTGACAACCATACATGAAAACTCTGTGGCCATCATACTTGCACCGGCATCTCATGACATTGTTCATAAAGTCGGACTCAGCCATGTCCAGCGAGGGGTTGACTTCCACCTGCCAAACAACACAATCATCCATAACCTCCTTCATTGTTCACCAGATACTGAACTCCAGTTGACCAGGTTCATAGACAATAAGGAACGAGTTTCATTGTTCTGCTCACTGGGAAAACCATTTTAAGAAAACAACAGTGGCACGTATAATTGTGAGAGAGCTTCTTATTAAACAGCGACCGTGGCTGGAATTGCTTTTATGGTCAATCTGCTTCTCATCTATAAAAAATAAATTACTGGACGACTTTTCCATACAGCATTTTATGAAACAAATATACTCTGTAGCACTTTCTCATGGACTTGATGCTAGAACTATTTTCACGTTGCCATTTGAAGTTGAGCATATGGACTTAAAATTGCAATGGTAAAATATGTGCCTTCAACATGCATTATGCAAAAGGACCACTGGATCTTTTAAAAGAACCGGCTATAAAAATGTTGCTAACTTGTGCAAACGTCTTGTGTTCTGACAGCCAAGCACGTGGTAATTGGCTGCCAATGAATTTCAGAGCATCTGTTGCAAATGAAGCAACAGATTTGAAGCTCTTGAAGATGAGGAACGTGCCCTGCTTCTCCATAAAATGGCAAAAATAGACATTAAATTATCCTCAAAATGGAAGCCTGTTGCAACAGAGTAGTTATGCATAAGTATGTTTATATGTCTGAAAACAGTCTTATTCTGAGGGCAGCTGTACATGTACTAATAGTGTGTCATTTGCAGAGCAGCTCTGTAACTGCTGATACAACCATTCTCCTAATCTGGCCAAGTGATAGTACCGTGAAGCCATTTACTCTAATAGCTGCTCTGTAAACTGCTACACCCACTTTAAGTACAGGTTACAAACAGCTTCGGGGAGATGGAAGGCAATCAACACCAAAATAGGTGAAAACATTTGAAAAAGCATGGTGAATTCACAAAAACAGTGTCTCTTAATTTTTCTTTGTAAATTACAGTGTTGGACCAGAGCGGGCTCTGCTGAAGGCTGGTTCAGTAGATAAATGCATCTCTTAAGTTTAAAAATCGGCTATAAAAATAAAAACAGGGCAGGAGGAATTCCTTGGTGGCAAATTAGCCGTTCCTAATGGAAGCGAGGACGAGGTGCTGTTTGACTAAAGGGAGCCAATAGTTAATTTGGGTAAATTGGTATGTTTCATTAAGACTGGGCGGTTCAAGGACATGTCTGCCGAGTCTTTGTGCGAAGCGCAGGATCAGCCGTTATCTGCACAGATTAAAGATAGAACATAGCGTGAAGGAAAAAGGCCTGCAGCCATTTGTGTTTTTTCCAATTCAGCAACCTTGAAGAATAACCACTTCATGGCTTGGGTTACTTTATGTTCTCCCTCTTGTTTTTCCTTGTTTGTTCCTCCTGTTCAAATTTCCTACCAGGGCTGAAATGACACTGTTCTTCTATCTTCTATCTTAACTCCAGTTTTGTCACGCTGCTCTTCACTGCTTTGTGTCTCCATAATGTGCCACTTTATAATTAACCCCCCTCTCTACATGCTCAAAATACATGCATGTACATATGTGCGACACCTAAGTTATTGGGTAAATTAAAAAGGCTGGTCTCCAATAGAGAGAGAGTAAAGCATTGTCAATTAAAGAGCCTGAGTGTGTAACACCAATAATCATCAAATAAAATGGGTCACAAACTGGGCAACAGCAATAATTTACAAACTGTGAGTTCCTCTGGAACCAGACTCCGGCAGTTTGGAGGTAATTGGCACCATGCTAAGATCTGAGGAATACCTCATACCAAAGTGTGATTAAGGTTGTGACATGGAAATGGATGATAATGGTGGGTGGTGTGTTTGATGTGTTTTATAGACTGGTTGCCACAATGACTTAACGAGAAAAAAAAAACATTTTTTAACTGGTGCTGATTGGTGAAGGAGAATGTTAGCATGTTTCTCTGAGTAAGGAAAGCCATGCAAGCCTATGCCCAAATCTTTGATTGAAAATAAATATATTTTTTTAAATCTCTTGATAAAGTTAGGTAAGATGCATAGAGTTGACAAAGGATTGGATATTTTGGATGGTCCAATTTTAAGTTTAAAAGTGTTAGACAGAGCCGTAGAGTCAGGACTCAGCAAAGCTAAACTTTTTTTGTTTTTAGTTGGATGTTTATTTATTAACTTTTATTTAACCAGGCAAATCCCATTGAGATCACAGATCTCTTTTGCAAGGGAGGCCTGGGCCTGAAGGCAGCCCAACATGCATGTTTTTTGGTCTGTGGGAGGAAACCGGAGTACCTGGAGAAAACCCACGCAAACACGAGTAGAACATGCAAACTCCACACAGAAAGACCCCAGGCCCAACCGGAGATTGAACCCAGGACCTTCTTGCTGTGAGGCAACAGTGCTAACTACTGAGCCGCCGTGCTGCCATATCAGTTTGTATCAGTTTTAGTTAAAATTTTTGTCACAAAGGGGGAAAAAGCCCTAAAATATGCTATAAACAAACATAAATGTCTTACGTCAAATGTTAATAATATAAAAACACAGTGGGTTTAAAATCTAACCATAAATTGGGTGAAATAATTGAATAATAAAAACAAAATTGGAATTGAGAAGAGTTTTTAAAAAATTAGAAATCAAACCAGTATGTACATAATGACTGGTTATTGAGGACAAAATTTAACAAACTTAAAATGAAGAAAATCCCAATGATTAAAAAAAAAAAAAACATTAAATGAACTGGACATAACTTTACTGCAAGTGTATTGCAAGTTTATAGCAAAAATGTGCCTCACATACTGGACGAAATAAAGATTTTAAAATATATCTTACCTGGAATATGTAGTCACCTGGCCGCACATCTGTCACATCCACCCACTGACAGTCAATATCATGGCGATAAGTGTCCCAGCAGCCCACAGAAATGCCTTGATCGCCCATATTGTAGCAGGAGAACCGCTTCTGTAGTCCTACGATACATTCACACACATATCAGCAACCTTATCAATCTAAACATCAAAGCTCATGTGATGCTTCACAATCTCTGTTAATTTTAGGAGCATTCAGCTTCATTGGTTCTCTATGAACAAGTGCTTCTTTAATGGGATATTTTACCCAAGACATGAGTAAATACAGAGTTAATGAACAAAAGCACCAACGTTAGCCACATAGTGAAATTGTGATTAACTGTAGTAAAAAATATTATCAACTTTCTGCATTTAATGGAAAACAGCAGATCTTTTGGGATTCGTGAACAGTGTTGAACATTACCATCGGGGCAGTACGTATCCTCGAGACAGAAACTGGCCTTGTGTCCCTCTGCAACCTTTGTTCCGTTCAGAGTCAGCAGGTCATAATGTGTGAACACCTCGATGCTGTGGTAGTGCCTGTGACGTCAGAGAGGAAAGTCCTGATGAGAGTTCTGCTGAGTGTGTGCATTTACTCTAACTGAACACTGGCTTTCTATAGTTTGTATCCTGATGACTTCACCGCTCAAACACGAGCAGGGTGTCACCATAACACCTCTCACAGAAGCTTGTTTTAGTGCCAGCTTGCATGGGTTATTTATTCATTATAAATGAATAGAGGGCTTTGAAACTTCCATAGACCTGATATGCTGTAATAACTGAGGCGGACATGCTTGTGGCTGAGCTGCTGTCCCATATATGACTTCAACCTGGGGTGACAGGATTATCCATCACTTCCACCAACTAATTATTAAATGTGGAAATATGATAACACTGTTTCACTTTTTAATGTAACAACCGACCTCTTATGTCTAATGTCCACCTTGCATGCTACCTGTAGCAACCTCGTCAAACCTTTAATAAGTGTTCTTTCCTGGCTGCAATTAAATTCATTAAATTAAATTGAAGTCAGCCAACTAAACATGGGGGAAGCTATGTCATAAGTTCACTATCAAGCTGTTCTGGTAAATAAAATGTATGTTTGTCTATGCTTTTACACATCTAGTAGACATCCTGGACGCTCTAAAGCACAACTTCATGCGCACTCCTAAAATATACAGATATTTTTTACAGTTTTGTGCTTGTTGCAAAGTCAATTTTTACATTATTTTTTAACTGTTGCATTTGCCACCCAGGCACGGGGTAAGATAAGTGTTGAAGTGTGGACGCTGTGATCTTTGCATCTGGCACTGTTGCGTATCTATTTATTGGAGATATTAGATTCATTGTAAAAAAAAAACAAGTTTTGGGTAGAATCATTTAAACATATTTGACTTACTATGCTTTGTGCCTGCAAAGTCATTATTACAGCCTTTTAAAAGCATGGAATGCAAAAACTTAGAATGACTGTCAGATAAGATAATGATTAATTAGTGCGAAGAATGAAGACAATCAATGAACTATTGCTATGCCTCCTGCATCAAAAATGTTTAGCAGTTTTTTTTTTTATGCTTTTGTTCTTCTTTGCTTTATGTATAAACAACTTTTTTTAATGGATTCACTATATCTTGTTTGTTGATCATCTTCCTGCTCTTGTGCCAAGCAAATTATCAACATTACTAAATTATGAGAAACTGGAGCGTGCAAGGTTTTCATATAAATGCCTTCTAAAATAAAAGTTATTTAAAATGTCAAAATCTTGACGAAACAATGCAGTGATAGTTATGTAGGCCAAAAAGTGTATCTTAAATACTTATTTGAGCCAAACTTCTATAATATCTTACACTGATTAGGTCGTTTAACAGTTCTTTCCACTGCACATCCAAGATTTGTATCTCTTACCTGTGGCACTCGTGCCATGTCCAGCTCTCTTTTGAAGCTTTGGGTCTGAAATCAGATCGACCCAGGTTCATGATGCGAGAGGAAAAGCGCAGCAGGCGTCGGTGACCATAAGGCCAGTTCATCCTGGCAGCAGACGATGACAGACAGTTCTCTTCATGTGCACATTTCAGCAAGTGGAGGGGTCGGTCTTCCAGGTAGGTTGTCTCCTGGACCAGCTGGGCATCCAATACAAGATCTGGGGCAGCTAAGAAGTGTTCAATGTGACAGGTTAGGTTAGAGTCACTGTATTACAGGAGGAGAGGACTTAGAACCTAGAAGGTTCCTGTAGAAACTTTGATGGGGACTGCCATGTTGCGGCCATTTTAAAACTTTGATTTGACATTGCTCTCAGCTACCACCACACCCAATTCCAGCATAATGTCTCTAAAAATGGATGCTTTATAGTATTTTTCCTTTTTAGTTCAGGCGGCCATGTTTAATTTTTGATTTGCAATCATTCTATTAGGGATTGTTCTCAGCTACCAGTACACCAAATTTCAGCTTAATATCTTTAAAAACCTCCGAGTTGTATCCATTTGAAAGTTGCTTTAGTGGGTGGCCATCTTGAATTTCTAGATTTGAATTTAGAATGTGCTGTGCATCGCTGTCAGGTACCGCCACAACAAACCTCAACTCAGTATCTTTTAAAATTGCTGCATTGTCATATTTTTTCCCTTTTAGCTAAGGTGGTCATCTTGGATTTTTAATTTAATATCTCAAAGAATGACAGCGTTATAGTCAATTTTGAGTTTTCTGAGGTAGCTGTGGCAGCCATCTTGAACCAAAATGGCTCCAAACATTAATCAGTGTTTTGTTCAAACCTCTTCCTCTAGGTCATGTGACCTTACTGTAGCAGTTAGAGGCTGTTTGGAGTTCTTTCAGTGGTTTTTAATGAGAAAAATGGCGTCTTTGTTGGTTAATTACGTCGCCATAGTAACTAAAAACACCAATAAAAGTTATAGCACACATCACGGCGCTGAGCCAGTCATTTCGATATAACATTTGTGGGGGTACACATTGCGGTTCAGACCACATTAAAGGTGATAGAAGCGCAAGACCCTTTCCAGGTGGATAATAATAGGTGGCTGCCTTTCTAGGCAGTCCCCATTTGAGAAAGATGGCTTAACTTACTGTCTGAACAGCTGACCCCAGCGGCCTTTGCTCCACCGCCACGAGGGCAGTGAACGTGGTTGTTTCGTCGACACTGTTGTATTGAAAGCTCCGTTCCCACACAGTGAGTTCCACTGAGAATCACATCACTTGCGTTTGGATTACCAGACCAGTACCACGTCTCCTGTCAAATAAAAGGGCGTGGAGAGACGACATGGTGAGTTTGTCAGGTTTTTTATCAAAGAGCAGTGACACCGTTCATTGTTTACTGCAGTGAATGCAGGGGCTGTGATTATAGATCTGTCTCCAAGAGCTGTTTTCATTTTCACATCAATAACTCAGACATTACTGATGGGATTTTGACAACGCTCTGAGAAATTATGTGTTTTTCAGCTTTAGTTTGTCATCATTATAAAATAAACAAATTTGCTTAGACATTAGAAGGTTTGTTTGTTCTTTTAGGACTTCAAGGAAAGTTGGTAGACGTATCATCAGAGACAAAAATGACCTGTTGTTATGTTTTGCTAGAGAGGAGGGTGTTACCTGGAGAGCACTTGCAGCAAAGCCTAAGCCCAGCTGTCTGCACACCACCATGGCTTCATTTATGCCCCAGTTTTCACTACAGACAGATCCCCAACGCTTACGACCCCCAACATCCATTAGCACCTCCACACGGCCTTCAGATGGGACTCTACCACCTGCAAGCCGTACCTAGAAAATCATCAAATTATAGAATTGAATTGATTGTGCTTTATCCGTAAGTGCAACTAACACTATTGATGGTAAAAAAAGTCATTTTATACCGTTTTTTCTGAGCCAGTCTTAGGAATGTTGCAGCGTACTGAGGCATCTTGGCTGTGTTTGAATGTCCACAGCTGGACTTCCTGGAAGAAGCAGTCCATGATGGAGCGTTCCGAGCCCATACACTGTACATTGTTCATATGAATGGGTCCTGTACCTGAGAAGGGAGGAGATGTGGTACATTTGAAGACTGCTGGAAATATGGAAACCAGAAATGTATGTATATAACCACAGGGTAGTATTTGCTGTGGCTGTCTTTAGTCGCTCAATGTGGACACAGTGCCATAAGAAGATTTTATCATGCAAAGGAGCACGCAGTAATGCATAGAAGAAGCTTTTTTAATGTGAACACGGTTTTTCTGCTTACCATTAAACTAACAAAGAAAAGTTGTTATCTGTCATGACAAAATGTTCTTGCAAGCAAAACAGCAGCAGGAAAACATCTACTTAAGGCATCTGTCACAGCTCATTACCACCATTCTTTTGCTTTGGGCGTAGCAACGTCAACATTGTGTGTAGTCTGCCACAATGAGTGAGCAAACAAAACCAAATTCGTGCCAGCAAAATAAATAACTTACAGGCATATATTTAAACTAAGAGCATCTCCAAATAAATTAGAAGATGATGGAAAAAATAATTTAAATAAAACGCTTTGGATTTTTTTTATTTTTAGCTCAACGTGCCAACATAAAATGTGGCCGGACATAGAAAAAACACAAAATAATTATAGGCTTTGTGCTTTCTTTAAACGAAAGGTGCAAACAGAAAACTTTTACATGGGAAAGCTTGAAAATAAACTCAGGATAAAGTGCAAAAAAGAAAAAAAGTCAAGAAAATGGGCATTAAGAAACACAGAGCCAGTGTGCAATCTATTCCAGTTTGTCTCTATGTTGGTTTTAGTTAATTGGAGGCCAGCTTTCGTGCTGGTCACCACTACTGGGTTCATACTGCATGTAAGAGAATAATAGATGATCTCCACTTCCACCTTGATCTGCAGGGTAGAGACGGCAAACTAGATTTAATCTCACACTACCTTATCAAGGCATACTCAGAAAAGAGATCCGCAGCAGAATGAACTGTGGCGTGCTCTATTTTTACTTCACCTTAAATCTTAAGAAACTAGCCGCACACATTTTATGTTCAGACACACAGAGGGTGTTTTAGTTCCTTAAATGCCTGCTACTCCAAATCTATTTACTTTATGGGTGAAATTATACAGTAAAGTAACAAGGTTGGTTAAAATAGAAATACAAACATTGTCCCTGTAATTTTACTCACTGATGATAATGATGATTATGAAAGGAAATGTAATGATGATGAGCGTTAAAATGTTGTCAGCACTAAACTGAATCTTGCGTTCAATCTCTCTAAGGTCAAATCTCTGAACGATCAAACCTTGGTTTCAGGGTGAATGTCTGAGATTGGCAACAGAAATGCACATTAATGATTTAACATAACATGAATATAGAATCTTAATCCACCATTGAATAAGTGTTTTTTATGTAATTAGACCTGGCAGATGCCAGTGATCATTTGGAGAGATTAGTAAAACAACTTTAGAGAAAAGAACTTTAACGACCGTGAAAATATAGTTAAAAATAGCACCACAAGTTTCAAGAAAAAATATTATTTTCTTCTAAGTTTACACTCCATTTTAGGTCTATTAATGTGTTTGTCTCCACTGCCTTTTTTGTGTAGAGATCATCACATCTGGATCTTAGTCAAATGCAGTATTTATTAAAGTTTTTGGCCTTTCTGCATGTTTGTATTAAGAAAAGTATGACAAAACCTCAGAAGCTAACCAGAAATAAAACCGTAGTTGAGGTTCTAAGGTTGCTCTTTTTGTATTACCAGTACATCAGGAAAGTGCCCTATTTCTTACAGGTGAAATCATGCATGTAGGTTTATTCTACTGCTTCCATATGCAAGTATATTTTCTTTGTACCTGTCCTGCACAAGAAAAACATGTGAACTAAACAAAATAATGGACTCTTTAAGGATGTCTTTCACTTTGAGATTTGTTCCATTTGTATTATAGCTTTTCCAGAACATAGAAGCCTATGTTTATTGGGCCAGACATGAAAAATATACAGTATATAAAAGTGACCATCTAAGCCCTGCAGGTTGCGTGTTATAAAAAGGAAGCTGTCAGAGTTCTTTGAAGTGCAAGCAACCTGTGTATATGTTAGAGCCAGAAAGAGGAAGCAGTGTTTTGAGCGTTAGTTCATCCTACTAAGAAAAGCAAACATTTTTTTGTCACGCATGTACTGTATATGCGCACATGAGCTATGTAAAGTCACCAAGTGCACCCATTATTTTACCAAACTATGTGCAGAACTTGAGATGGGAGACTGTGTTGAATAATAAAGCCACTCTAAGATGCATTTCTCTCTGAGGTAGCTGGACCAATCATTGAGAGCCATGATGTAAACTGACTTTTCTGATGGACGTCTATAGCGTCATTCTGTTGAAGCTCAGTGCCTAGTGAATATTAATTATTTGAAGTTAAAGCAGCAAACGTTTGAGCAATTGCATTGTACTCTGATTACATTATGAGTCTTCTGATTTATCACGAGGGCCTTTTGCTGCCTTCAGATGACTATGGTACATCAATTTAATGGAGAAGCTTTACACACAGTTCAAAGCTGATATACTCAAATACTGTCACAATTATTCTGTCTTTCTCAAGGTTTATGCCTATTCCTGATGTTAACATGCAACAAGAGGACACACCCTGAGCTCACTTCCTCACAGTACCAATATAACCACATTAGACAAACAAGTGAGCATAAATTTACTCAGTCCTAAAAGTATTTAAAAGCAACAATTAACCTAACTTAGTGTGTATGCATTTTTGAAGCAGGCTAGAGTATACAGAAGGAAAAAAATGCATGCAATACAAACTCCACATTAATCATAGATGTTTTCACTCTGAAGAGCACCACACCAATGTGCTACAACAGAAAACCAAACAATGCAGGTCTAATGAACTATGCTGTGACTTGGTCTGCATTAGATTTAGATGTCAATGCATAAAGTAGCTTGAAAGTGATAAAGAATGTATGTTTTGTTTTTTTTTAAACTCTGCAAATCTCTTGTTTAAACCTCACATTTTATCTTCTACAGCTAAATATTACACTGAGGAAAACCAAGTTTAGTGTCTGGCTATTCAATCCTAAGTAAAGAGGCTCCTGCACTTAGCAACGCACAGTCATGCAACAGGATCGGTTAATTCTCAAAATCAAGTTATCAACTCTATTTTGAAGAGGAAAAGAAAAGTGGAGGATTATCATAGAGAATGAGCCACATGTTAATATTTAAAGTTTGATTTGCACACGCTCACAAGAACTACATTTTTTAAGCTTACAGTTTGGACTGTATAACACATGCACAGTTTTAAATAGGAGTTTTAAGTCAGGAAAAAAAAAACTATAAGGAAAAGTACATATTTTTTGCTCCTCATAAACAATACATTTTAAAGCTTGTACTCATATATATGACTTGTTAAATCCAGATGACAAGCAGTATGGCGACTGGTGTAAAGTTCCCCTAAAAATGCAGGGTAATTCAGACTTTGCTGCTCTTATATTCTTCAACAGAAAGTTATAGCATGAATGACAGCTCCTACACAGAAATAACTTGAAATTATATTTCCTTTGATCATCTGAACAGCTAAACCAGCCGAAATGTTGTCCCACATTTCGTCTCCTTCAGCATATTTCAGGACTACACCCAAGCCCGAAGCATGGGGAAAATGTTTTCTCCCACATATTGCAAGGGTGGGGACACCACTGGAACAGCTGGATGTCAACTGAAACTGTATGCGACGACGAAGCTGGACATTTGAAATTTTGGAGATAAAACAAGCACTTAGTGACTAAATCAAAAAGATGCTTTGATCTAGAAAGATTATGTCTCTGGGTTTAGTTACCAAATGCTAAAGTAAACCACCACGGTTTACAATGTTTCTTTATTTGTGTGTGTGTGCATGAACACATGCATGTGTATGGTGTTTAGGCACCTGGTACCGCTGGCGCAGGGCATGTATTTTCACAGCTGGAGAAACTGCAATCAACACATTTGCAGCTCGCAGGGTAACATACACAGACAAAAAGGCAAACACACATGCCTGCACATTATCTAATCAGTCGGGGCAGACGGGTGCGGTGTCTACGATAAGCAAAAGATAAGCAAAAGTCTCCTTGTCTTCTCTGGAATACTATGACCGCATGATGAATGCATTTTTAAAAAACTAAAAATGCTGACTTGAAATGACTAGATTGAACATGAAAGTTAGCTCATGTTTTGAGTTTTATAAAAGCAGGACTCTCTCTTGTTCTCTTTATCTTACCTTGGCCCATAAAGGCTCCTTGCAGGGCATCTTTGGCAGTACCAAAACCCAGTTCTCTGCACACCACACTGGCTGCAGTCCTGTCCCACATGTGATCGACGACAGTTCCCCATTTTCCATTTCGGAGCACTTCAACGCGACCCTCACCCAGCCTGGGACCTGCCTTAAGGCGCACAGGCTGCACAGGACAACAAAGATTGTGTAAACCAGTTCCTGCACAGCGACACACTGCATCATGTTTGACATGACTGTATAAATCATACCACAACTGGATGAGGAGCCTGGGGTCTTCCTGAGGAGATGCGAGCAAATTGAGGTCCTGGTACACACTTGACCACTGCATGTCTTCCATTTTTACAAGGAGTGGGACTACGGGGGATGGACAGCTGAGAGTGGCACTCTGACAGGCTGTTCTCAGTGCCCAGACAGTGAACTTTCTCTACCCAGAATCCCTTCTTCTTTGCCATGAGACTAATTCTGCAAAGACATGAGGGAAAATTAGTTTATTTGTTCTTGAAGTTCAAAACAGTTTGTCAGCGAAATTTTAATTTGTCTGTACCATGATTTAAAAAATCTATAATTAAAAAACATATATATCAAATAAAAAATTTTTAAAAAATGTCTTGTTTTTTAGTAAGACTTGAAAACCTTAAAACTAATACAGCTGATGGAGACTATGCAGGTTCGGGTTGATAAGATAAAATAAAAGACTTAATGACCTTGTTGATGGATCTTTGACCTTGCTGTCCCATATTTTCCTGTAAAAGAGTAAAAGATGATGAAGTTATTTTAAATTCAGTATTGATTACCTCCATTTTTAACAATAACATAATCATTTAGAAATAATTTGTCTCTGAATTTATACTGATATACATGTTATGCAAGAACTAACTTAAAAAAGAAAAGAAAAAAAACAAGCAAAATTATTTCACACTATACCGTTAGCTGTAAAAATCTCATGCAGTCCAAAAACAGACATGACAGTTAAACATAACTGTTCTGGGAATGCATGGTTTGACCAAACACAATATACAAACAAGAACTGCAGCACTGTACTGGAACTAAACTATGATTTATGCAGAGGATCACTTGAAAAGGCAGGGGGGAGAGGAAATCCCTTTGTATTTCTGGCACAGATGCAAAGAGAACCTCACAAACCATGCTGGAACATTCACAGACCACTGTTCTATTGCTAACACAATAACATCATTTTACCATAAACGCTCAAGCACATGCACAACACAAGCAAACTGGCATCTATTATGTCCCAAATCCTACTGTGCTTGCAATCAGTTGCTCATATATCAAGAAAAGTGAATAAACAATGGATTATTACTTAAATAAATAATTTATCGCACCATCAAAAGACTTAATATTCACTGAGCTGTAGTATGAGCACATTTCATGAAAACACTTCATATAACTAAACAAAAAGCACCAGAACTTCATGATTCTGTTTAAAGTGACATTGTATCAAAAGTATTGAAGAAAAAAGTTCTCTATGAAATAACAAAATGCTGATTTTAGTGACTTTCCCTTTCAATGAAGCAATCTTCATGTGTATTTGTATGAATGCAAAGGCAGGTCAATGTTTGCATTTCCTACAGACATCCTTGCAGAGTCTAAGCATAATTTTTTTAAAACAAACAGGACGTTTGAATCAAGAGACTCATTGCCAGTGACATAATGTTCTGTTGATGGTGGTATGGCGTCATGACTGCTGAACATACAGTGCATGTTGCAAAATCCTACAACTCGTTTCCCGGTGCTGTAAGAAGACATTGACCTGTAAGAACTTATTGCTTGAAATATGTAATAAAGGTGACTTTAAAGTACTAATATACAAAATTTAAGCTCTATATCCGTTAAATTGACAGTTATAGCAAATGTATATTTGATAAACTTGATTAGCTGTGCCCACCATCTTTAAGGTGACTCTAAAAGTTAATAAGCTGTAGATCTACATCAAATGATTACTTTCTCAGAATTTCAATAAAATCTGCCCACTGGTTGGTGAGATATTTTATTAACAGACAGACAAAGAAGCACATGCACACAGACACAGGCCTTTATGTTATTGTCTGTCTTTCATGGCAGTGAGTAATAAATAATAAAAATATATATACGTCCATTTTTTTAATAAAGCTGTCTGTGCCATGACCTGCAGTAAATTTTGACATGCTTTGAGTTCAACACTGTCTCTTCGATCACACTTAAAAAGTATAGTCATAAAATATTTTAAATGTGTCTAACATGTGGCTTTGCAGCAGCGCTGAGTAGAAAGCCAGGACTATACACTTTGAGGCAAACATGTCTGTGACTTGTTTGTGACCTTACCACAGACAAATGGGCTAAACCATTTTCCCTCTTCAGAAAGCAGCGGGACCGTACAAGCTGTTAATGATGCCTTCAGGTCTTTCATTTGACTGGATTACAAATATCTACTACGTTACACCCACAAGTTGTAAAACATGAATGGGTAGATATATCCAGCCTGTATTGCATAATTGTAGTTATCAATAATGAGACATTGTGCATACGTGTTTAGATGCAACAACATAAGACATTCTACGTTAAAGTTGGGTTTTCTCTTCAACATTTACTGTATGAACTTTGTTAAACTAAACATCAAGTCCAACAGCTGTTGTGGCACCAAGTGAACAGGAACTAATGATAGAGGTGCCAACCAGACTGTTAAAGGGTAAGTAACACAACAGTGTAGGTTACATCACCCTCACATTGCTCAACAACGTAATTATACTGCACGACCTCTGCTATTGTTTATGAAAAAGGTTTATTTAAATTGGTAAAAAAAAAAAAAAACCAGAAGCTATGATAAAGACATATTTTTTTGCATGTGTCAAAATCACACAAGATACAGTCAGATACTGGATTTATACAAAATTTAAAAGGAAGGCCAAAATAGCATCAACTTCATTTTATTCAAGGAATATTAGAGGAAAAAAATTCTCAAAGTTTTCATAGAAGCGCTCTTGCTGTTCAAATAGTAGCCGAAGATTTCATGAAGCTCAAAAGGAACGTTAAAGAAAATGTGGTGTGTCGTCAATTCTGTGTGGAAGTCCAGATTCCACAGCCTGTCCCGAGCCAAAGGTAAAGCCACTGGCATGCGCACAGAAATTAAAAGATGGAGAAATAAATTAGAGACAAGATCGTTGAGGAAGATCACAGACACCAGACAAGAAAACCACACTTGGTGGCAACAAAAATGTCACCAAGAAGCCTAAAATTGATACCTTTATCATAAGAAAATTTCAGGCAAAATGTAATTAAATGAAATGCTGGTTAAGTTCTCAAATCACTATGGTGACAGAGGAAGACAGCCGCTGACGCAGCCGACGGTCCTGCAGCTGTAATTGGCCACATTTCACACAAGCAAGCGGAAATCTGCCCCCATCTGACTGCTGCTGTCGTTCTTCCCCCCCATCGCCTCGCACACTTGTTACTCTCTCACACTCTCTTTGCCAGCTCCGTTTTACTCTCTCTCACACACACAACTATAATTGGTGTGTGTGTTTTTTTTTCACCCTCAGCAGAAACCCTGAGGATCTTTGGTCCTGACCAACTTGTAATTACAGCATCTTCAGAGTTTCATCCAACAGACACACAGAGCTGAGAAACATGGCAGGGTCCAGGATTTCTAAGAATGGACTGAGAAACTTAGCCAAGAAGGAAAATTAGGGGAAGGGAATGTCTCAGGCTAAATTAAGCTACTATCCCTTTTTTCTTTTTGGCAACTGGAAGAAGAGTAGTCAACAGATGGGCTCATGGCAAGTCTTCTATTGATATTTGTATTAGTATGTACAGTACCTTTAGGCCTTAACCAAGAAAAACTGAAAAAGCTCTTGTCGTTATTTATCACCCAACACATTCTGATCCAACATTTCTAGGAATCCTTGCTGCTTTCAGGAAGGATTCAAACACGAGAAAAAAATGAACAGAAAAACGACTAAGTCAGGGACGTTTGAGAGACTGGGGCATCTGTTCGCTCTGAACCAGCCTGAAGTCAAAAATACACATTAGGTGAGAGTAAATATACATCTGCAGAGACAGAAAACAGGTACAGATTTGGAAGCAAACATATCATGAGGATTTTAGACCAGTGTATCCTCTAGGCCTCAGAAAAACACCAGGTCATACCCAGGGCAGACAAACCAAGATGCTAAGTCATGTCAGAGCCTTGTAATTTACACACATTTCAACTAACTGGCTTGAAGCAAACTGATTTTTCCTGTATATTTAGAAGAAAAGCAGTGGCTACTTTGTTGTGGTTTAAGTCCCAGACTAAGCAAGCAGGAAAAACACGACCATTTAAGCTCTTTTAATTGACCTTGGAGAAATTTTTAAAGGAGCGTTTTAGAGTAAGTGAGCAGAATCCCTGCAGGCTAAAATCCAAGCTTTTCAAGCTTCAGAAACCCCATTTGCCTTTTTTTTATATCCATCTTCAAGGAATGCAGCAAAATTGCTACTAAAACGTTGCTGCCATATAAATCTATGCATCCAATTCCTACCTCAAATAAGCGCTGTGCATCTTATCTTGATATGTTCTGTGCTGTGCTTTCAAATCTACAGTGTGGGAGAAAAATCAAGCTGACGGACAAAAAGTTTCTCACCTGCAATGCAGGAAAGTTGTAATAATAAATGATCCCATTCAGGGCGTTTTTTATCGTTAAAGGTATTACTCCATAAGATTCCCTCATTCGCCATTCAGAGCTTGTAATAGCTTCTCCGTGCTCCTAATAATGTGTGTTTATAGCAGATAGCTCAAGTCAAGGACAGTGCAGAAAGCTTTCAAAGACAGAGCATGCCCCACTGGGACTGTCTGAAGTAAACCAAGAAAAAATCTACAAAAGTGCATCAATCTCGCTCTCAAACGTTGCAACATTTGACGAGCCGAGCACCTGCAGTACAGAACAGATGTTGCGGTCTGTCGGCTGTTCAGTCACAAAAAGCCCTGCCAAGAGAAGGAAGAAATAGCTAAACTGTGAATCACTCATGGTCAGGAGCTTTTCCAGGAGTGAAATCCAACTGGGTTCCCTCACACTGATGGTCAGATACTGCTCATTCATAGAAGCTACTAATGTGTGGTCCTCCTGTGGTTTTTAGAGTGGAGCACGCTCCCAAACCACTGTCAAGGTTTTGAAACGAGCAGAGACGAAACGTTCGTCTTGGCCAAAGAGGCACAAGGAGACAACTACAGAGCGTCGGGTCCTGTCACACCGGAACAGTATAATTTAACGTTTGACCTGTTTTAAACCTGAACGCTTTTAAAGGTGATCTGGTTCATGTTTGCTCAGCTGGTCACATGTTGAGTTTGACACAAATTAATTACAAAATTACTGTATATTTGTAAAATAGGCACTGTTTGAAATACTGGCTGGAACTAGCACCTGAGTCCTTCATCTGCTGTGAGAACATATATCTGAAGGAAAACTTTTTTTAATCATTTTTGTACAATTCTTTGTATATAATGTTTCAAAATAAGAATATTTAAATAAACGTAATTGTGTCACTAATTTCCACAAGTCATTTTACTGCTGTTACTCTTAATTAAATCTAAAAACATTTTCACAGATTTAAACCTTAAAAACCACAACAAACAGAAAAACATTTGACCACAACTGCATGAAAAAACTAACATTTTGTTCTCCAGTTTAAACCTTAAAGTGTGAAACCTTTTTCAGACATGTTGTGTTAATACTTCTCATAACGCATTACAAACAAAACAAAACATACACATATTAAGTCTTCTAAAGATAACATATGCCGATACTAAACCAGACAAGTTATTTTTTGTCAAGATGGCCGTGCTCAGCCGAGCGGCAGCTTCACAGTCTCCCCATCTTTTTATGTTCCTGTTGTTTTTGTTGAGTTTTTTTGCGCCTACACTGCACATCCACGGTATGAGTATGACCGCGACACACATGTAGTTTTCTATGTCACTGCCTTGCCATCCTGCCATCGTGGTTCAGTCCTTCCAGCCTCAGGCTCAGGCCTGTCATGGCAGCTGTCTCCAAGATCTTCCATCTGCCTGATCGGACCGAACTCTGCAGACTCGCTTGGTTCCGTAGGGGATCCTTGGATGTTCTCTGTCTGTTGGACCTGATTCTGAAGAGAAGTCTGGGAGGCAGCTGCTGCAGTCATTATTACCATCATGCTGCTGAAGGGACCTGCTAACTAGACCTGCTAACGCTGCTAACAAAACCACACCGCTAACCGAAACACGGTGCCAACTGGACCATGATGCTAAAGAGAAACCTCACTGCTAACTGAACCTCACTGCTAACAGTATCATGCTGCTAACTGGACCATGTTGCTAACTGGACCGTGTTGCTAAGAGAAACCTCATTGTTAACTGAACCTCACTGCTAACAAAACCACACCGCTAACCGAACCATGGTGCCAATGGGACCATGTTGCTAAAGAGAAACCTCACTACTAACTGAACCTCAC